CATTGAGTGTTGTTGGAGTTTCTCAGCTCTAGCAGCAGCACTGCGACTGAAAGCATGCCCGTTTCTCACTGTGATAAGCGCTGAGAAACAGTGTGCTCACGGACACTTGAAAGTGAGCTGCTTGGACAGGGCTGCCAGGACTAAAGATGCTGAGGAAGCAACTGTGGCAACAGTTTGCTGACTGCTTGCATGGCGCCACCGTGTGGCCATATTGTGCCATGTGTCCACATGCCGAAGACCTGTCATCTTCAGGATCACTCCTCCAAGTAATTTTTTTTTTTTAATTTGAAGTCATATTATGTTCAAAAATTGTACAAAAAGTGAGGCTTTTTGAGAAGTTTTTGACATGCAATTTTAAATTCACATAATTTATGCCTATAGAAAATAAGAGCACACCAGGAGGAAGGTGCTTCCTGGAGAAAGGCTGGAGGAGGGCACAGGGCAGAGCTGGGTGCTTGCTGGGAGGCTTTAGAGATCCATGGCTTAGATTATCCATCGCTCTTAGAGGAAAAGCTTTTACGAGAGATGGCGATGTTGAATTCCAAAGCAGAGAGTGAGCTCTAGGTTGATAATGCTATGACAGCCAGGCTCCCTGGGGGGGTGTGGGGCCTCCCAGGGCTGGGGCAAGTACAGCCGAGACCAGCCTGTCTGAGCCTCTGAGAAGGGACCCTGCTTTCAACTCCCCCCACCCCCTGAGGTTGAGGCAGGACCAGGATCCAGAAAGGCTCAAGAGACCCGAAATAGAGGGCATCTTCCCAGGTAGCGCCAGGAGCCAGGACTCCACTGGGAAGGCCAGGTCTAGCACTGCAGGCTAAAGTGCAGCAGGGCCCTGGGCCCATCAAGGAGGGTGGGCCGGAGTGCAGTCTCTTGAGAAGCACGTGGGCCGCCATCCAGTGCTCATGGGTGCCAGGAGGGAGACAGGGTGAGCAGGCCTGAAGGAACCTCCAAGGCACTGAGTGAATTTCTGCTATTTAAGCCACCTGGTTATGGTATTTTTTTTAATAGCCCAAGCCCCCTCCTCTCCAATTACACACATGTTTCCTTATGTATGTATATAAATATATAGAGAAATTTGGTCAGGCATGGTGGCTCACGCTTATAACCCCAGCACTTTGGGAGGCCAAGGCAGGTGGATCACATGAGGTATGGAGTTCAAGACCAGCCTGGCCAACAGAGTAAAACCCCATCTCTACTAAAAATACAAAAATTAGCCATGTGTTGTGGCATGTGCCTGTAATCCCAGCTACTCGGGAGGCTGAGGCAGGAGAATTGCTGGAACTCGGGAGGTGGAGGTTGCCGTGAGCCGAGATCATGCCACTGAACTCTAGCATGAGCAAAGGAGCAAGACTCCAACTCAACTCATAAATAAATAAAGGGAGACATATTTCTCCCTATAGTTATAGTATTTATATATATGTTATATAAAAATATGACATGTTTATATTTACAAAGCAATCTATATATTTAATATATAATACATTAAATATAGATTTCATATACATTTTTTATATGTATGTATACACATATATATATACACACACACATATAAAAAGGAATTTATTTATTTGCTGTTCTGACACTTCCCTGCTCTTCTTTTCCTTGATGTTTCTGGCCTTTGTCTCTGATTCCTGGAGGCAGCCTCTAAATCCTTAGAAATTCTTGGGTGAGAGACCTGTCTGTTACTCATGGTGGGCCCCCCCCAGGGTCACACCTGAGTTCATGCAAACCAGATGACTTGGCCAGGGGACCAACCACACCAGAAAGACCAACCATGTGATTTGAAGGTTGCAACTTTGAGCCACATGGTGTCAGTCTGACCTCCAGAACAGAACTGGGGGGCTAGAGATTGACTCAACTGCCTGGCCAATGGTTGAATCGACCAGGCCAATGTAATAAAACCCCTGGACATAGAAGCCCAGGTGAACTTCCCTGGTTGGTGATACACATCAGTGTGCTGAGAGGATGATGCATCCAGAGAACACAGAACACTACGTGTCTCTGCTTTTGGCTGGTCTTAACTTTTGTCAGTGTTTTTCTTATATAAAACAATAATGAAAGTATCATCCTCAGCCAGGAACAGTGACTCATTGCCTGTAATCCCAGCACTTTGGGAGGTCAAGGCAGGCAGATCATCTGAAGTCAGGAGTTTGAGACCAACCTGGCCAACGTGGTCAAACCCTGACTCTACTAAAAATACAAAAATTAGCCGGGTGTGATGGCACATGCCTGTTATCCTGGCTACTTGGGAGGCAGAGGTTGCAGTGAGCTGAGATCGTGCCACCGCACTTCTCTCTGGGTGACAGAGTGAGACTTCATCTCAGAAAAAAAAAAAAAAAAAAAGGAAAGAAAATAAAGCATCATGCTTTACTGAGTTTGTCGAGTTGATATAGAGAATTATCAAACTTGAGGGCACTGTGGGAACTTCCAAATTTGTAGCCAGTTGTGAGAAATACATGTGGTCTGAGATTACCCAAACTTGCAGCTTGTGTCTAAAGTGAGGGCAGCTTAGTGAGGGCTTGTGGCCTTAACCTGTGGCATTTGATGTAACATCAAGGGGTTAACATCAGAATTGTGCCACACAGGCCAGGTGTGGTAGCTCTTGCTTGTAATGCCAGCACTTTGGGAGGCATGGTAAGAGGATCGTTTAAGCTTGCCTCTGAGGCTACAGTGAGCTACAGCTGCACCCCTGCAGCCCAGTCTGGGTGACAGAGCAAGGCCCCAACTCCAAAAATAAAAAATAAAGATAAAAAAGAATTGCATGGCAGGTTGCCTGTATTTAATGGCTTCAAATGTTGTAAGAACTTTCTTTTTTGGGGGGATGGGGGAGACAGGGTCTTGCTCTGTCACCCAGGCTGGAGTGCAGTGGTGCCATCTCCGTTCACTGCAACCTCCACCTCCTGGGTTCAAGTGATTCTTCTGCTTCAGCCTCCCAAATAGCTGGAATTACAGGCATGCACCACCATCCCAAGCTAATTTTTGTATTTTTAGTAGAGACAGTGTTTCACCGTGTTGGCCAGGCTGGTCTCGAACTCATGTTGGGATCACAGGCATAAGCCACCATGCTCAGCCACCTTTAGAGTTTGCTTACCACCTGGTTTTCCTCTCTTAATATCTTTCCCTCATTTCCTGCTTTAAAACTCTAGCTTGGGGGCTGGGTGTGGTAGCTTATGTTACAATCCCAGCATTTTGAGAGTCTGCGGTGGGTGGATCACTTGAGATCAGGAGTTCGAGACCAGCCTGGCCAATATGGTGCAACCCTGTCTCCACTAAAAATACAAACATTACCCCAGCATGGTGCCGTGCACCTGTAGTCCCAGCTACTCAGGAGGCTGAGGCAGAAGAATGGCTAGAACACAGGAGACTGAGGTTGCAGTGAGCTGAGAGCATGCGACTGCACTCCAGCATGGGCGACAGAGTGAGATTGTGTCTCAAAACAAAAACAAAAACAAAAACAAACACAAACAAACAAAAAACTTTAGCTTTGGATCAGCCTTCTTTTCTATTTTTTTTTTTTTTTAAATAGATGTAGATGTTACGTTGCCCAGGCTTGTCTCAAACTCCTGGGCTCCAGTGATTCTCCCGCCATGACCTCCAAAAGTGCTGGGATTATACGTATGAGCACTGCACCTAGCCTTACATTTTTTTTTTTTACATAAAAAATAATACAGGATTGTCTTTCAGAGCTAATAAATATGTTCAAATAACCACAACTCCATTAAGGAAAAATGTTACTTCACAGCAAATAAGCAAACTAAGATCAACATGATCACACACTCTGTGAAGGTGAGAAAACTTTGTCTTTATTACATTTCCCTAAGAGATGCACTGCATTGTTCTCTTGAGAACACACAGCTCATTTCCTCCTTTAAAACACACATCCTCTTTAAAGTAACATACAAACATGTCAATACAAGGCAAAAAATTACATCTGAATTCTCACATTTCAAAAACATACACTTAACATCAAATAAAAATTTATTTTTCAAGAATTTAGGGGTACTACCATGTAGCTATAAAGGTAATATATTAAGTAAGTATCATAGATAAAAAGAGTGCTTCCTTTAGCACCACAGGTAATAACAGATACAAAGATTTAAAGATAAAAGATTTAGGATTAAAAGAATCCTCTCTTAAAAAGGAAAACAAAATTATATTTTTGTGTATATAACAGCTATAGCACCTATCATACAACTTTATAGAAACAACATCTATTCAAAATACCAGGATTTCCAAACTATTTAAAATAAATGTAGTAATAATTCTATGCTCATCTTTTTCAAATAAACCAATAAAATGTATAGTATATATTAGACAAATTAGTATATATCTAAGACATGTTAAAAATCACAACTGAATTCTCACAATTGAGTAACAAACACTAGGAAATAAAAATTTCTATTACAAGAATTTAGGGGAACTACCACACAGCTATAAATATAATAGATTATAATGTAAGTATTATGGATAAAAAGTGCTTGCTTCAGAAGCACATATAATAATAGATAGAACAATTTAAAGATAATAGATTTTGGATAAAAATTCTTTCTTAAAAATGAATATTGTATTTATGTATATATAACAGCTATAACTCTCATCAAAAAAGTCTACAGGAATGGCGTGTTTTCAAAAGTACAACAATTTCCAAACTATTTGAAATAAGCATATTAATTCGATGGCCAACATTTTCCAAACAAACCAATAAAATGCATAGTATGTGTTAAGCTATCTGTTACAATCCTATGGCACTCATATTTAACAAATAATTCCGTGCCAATCTGAGCACCTGTACTGTGCCTTCAAATGCTCCTGGACTGTGGCAACCAAGTCCATAGGAAACAGAACCTCCAGGTTCCACCCTAGGGAGGCTGGAATTCAGCAATATACAAAGGGAGGTGGAGCTGCAGGAAGGGGTGGAAACAGAAACACCCCTGGTTTCTCACTGTCCTCCACAGAGGCTTACCCCCACACACCCCCGCTCCTAGTAGGACAGTGTGATCACTCTATTCAGCTCCTTCTAGAACAGTCCAGGTTCTTCTAGTTGATCTGCACAAATGGCTGCTCTCGTCCTTAATGGTGTCTGCCATTAGCATTGGAGTAAACTTGTTGCTGAAAATCCACAGCTCCCCTGGCTGGGCCTGGTGTTCTGGAAGTGAGAGAGAGAGGATGTCACACTTCAAGGAGGCAGTTCTCTATACAGGAAGGTTATTCACATCCCATGTCAGTTCTAACTAGAGTTCAGAGCAATTGATCAATCCAATTTTATCTCCTGCCTTTCATTCTCTACCCTGCTTCTGAACCATCGTGTTAATTGTGATACTGACATTTCAGTGACCCCGACTCCAAAACTCACTTAATACACCCACGGTCAGCCCCAGTGATCTGCTTCAGAGCAAGGACTTTGGGTGGGTCTGCCTGGGGAGTAGAGCACCCTCAGAGAATGTGGCTTTGGACTTCATCACACCTGGGGCCTTTTGCGCCCCTTAAGATTACTCTAACCATGCTAGTTATGTTTCTAATGTGACAACATCACGAACCACCAGTCCATAAGCCTAATCCATAATCTCACTTCCTAATGGTTAAGGCTCATGCTGAGTCCTCAGCGTGATTAGCTGCACAAGATGTAAATCAAATTGTCACTGAATCCTCTACCTGCATTTGTAACTCAAGTGCTTCAATCATAATGAACCTCTGGAACTCAGTATTTATGATGATTTTTGAGACATGGTCTCACA